AGTACTGGACCCCCATAATATTTCAGGACATCTTTATTTTTTATATATATACAGTGGGTACGGAAAGTATTCAAATTAAATTTTTCACTCTTTGTTATATTGCAGCCATTTGCTAAAATCATTTAAGTTAATTTTTTTTCCTCATTAATGTACACACAGCACCCCATATTGACAGAAAAACACAGAATTGTTGACATTTTTGCAGCTTTATTAAAAAAGAAAAACTGAAATATCACATGGTCCTAAGTATTCAGACCCTTTGCTCAGTATTTAGTAGAAGCACCCTTTTGATCGAATACAGCCATGAGTCTTTTTGGGAAAGAGGCAACAAGTTTTTCACACCTGGATTTAGGGATCCTCTGCCATTCCTCCTTGCAGAGCCTCTCCAGTTCTGTCAGGTTGGATAGTAAACGTTGGTGGACAGCCATTTTTAGGTCTCTCCAGAGATGCTCAATTGGGTTTAAGTCAGGGCTCTGGCTGGCCCATTCATATATATATATATATATTTCTTTGCTTTGGATGACCTTATGAATCCCCAGCATCCATCTCCTTGTTCCAGTGCTTCATCTGGTAAACAATGATTCAGGGCTTACTAAAAATTCAACTAAAGAATTGTGTGAATCCATTGTGGCCAAAATACAAGCAAGTGGGATTCCAAACAGTTTGGTGTCCTCAATTGTGGGAGATTTAGAGGAGCTACCAGATGAGCTTCACTTGCAAGCAAAGCATAACATACTTTCTGCTTTGCCTGCAAATGACCCGTACAAAACTGTAATAAATGAATCTTTTGAAAAATTAGAAAACCCATTCACAAATCTGAATACAGAATGGAAACGGAATAAATACTTTAAAGAAAAATGGGGAGTTGTAGAGCCCGTTGAGATAACACTAGGTGTGCGGTATGACAACAAATTGAATAAGAAATCTGGTACTTATGACCAAGTACCAGTGAATGATACTTTTATATATGTGCCAATTTTAGAAACATTGAAATGCATGTGCAGAAATCCAGACATTTGTGATCTCCTAAGGAAAGATTGTAGATCAGAGCCTGACACTTTTACAGATTTTAGCGCTGGAAGTTGTTTTAAATCCCACCCTTTATTTACAACAAAGAGACATGCATTACAAATTCAAATATACTATGATGATTTTGAAATAGCTAACCCCCTTGGCTCCAAACGTAGTATCCACAAAATTGGCTGTCTTTATTTTATTGTAAGAAATTTGCCCCCAAAATTTAACTCGGTTCTGATGAACATTTATCTGTTGGCACTTTTTCACACACAAGATGTAAGCAAGTACGGTTTTGATGTTATACTGGCACCATTGATAAATGATATAAAGATACTTGAAAGCCAAGTATTAAGTCTTCCATTCTCAGATGAGCAGATGGCACCATCGCACAAATCACTGGTGATAATCTAGGGATGCATTCAATTCTTGGTTTTAATGAGTCATTTAGTAGCCATCATTTCTGTCGCCTTTGTTTGATTGAAAAGAATGATTCTCAAACAGTATACAGTGAGGATGATCCTAAGGTGGTCCTTCGTGGACAAGAAATCTTTGAAATGCATTGCAAATCTCTCCAGGAAAACCCACAATTAAGGTCACTGTATGGTTTGAAAAAAAATTCCATAATTAATACACTGAAGTACTTTCATGTTAGCAATAACTACTCGTTCAATATAATGCATGACCTTCTTGAGGGCGTGGCTCAATATGAAACCAAATTGCTTTTTGGACATCTCACACAACTTTATATCTGAAGAGGATTTACTTTCAAGGATTTATTCTTTTGATTATGGATTTTTAGAATGTAAAAATAATCCCACAAAGGTTATTTTGTATAGTGCTGGTAATAGCATTGGTTTAAATTCCATTCAGACATTATGTCTTGTGAAAAATCTCCCACTTTTGTTAGTAGACATTGTTCCTCCAGGACACAAACACTGGAGTTTGTTGCTTTTGTTACTTCAAATAATGAACATTGTGTTTTCACCTTGTCTCACTTCAGGCTTGACAGTGTATTTGAATTTGATTGCTGACCACCACAAATTATTTAAATACTTGTATCCACATAAAAATCTGATTCCCAAATATCATTACATGATACACTACCCCTCTTCTATAAGGAAAATCGGCCCCTTATTATATATGTGGTCAATGAAATTCAAAGCCACACATAAGATGTTCAAAGATTTTTTTTTTTTAATTTCAAAAACATAAAACCATTAGCTAAAAAGCATCAGATGGGCCATTGCTTACCATTGGGAAACCTTCACCCTCAAACATAATGAGTTTGGGCTAATTAAATCATTTTCCATAGGGGATGAGAATGTGGTCAGCAATCAAATGCTTGAAATGTTCCTATCACAAGATGTTTTCTCAATTCTAACCACCTTGCAACTCTGAACAGTGTTGTTTTTCTGTATCCATTTTAGTGTTATTTTAACACTTTTTTTTTTTTTTAGAGTCTCTGGCATAGTGTTAAATATTTAACTATTTTAAAAAAGTAAAAGTGACGTGACATGTGGCCAAGTATGGTTACCCATACTCGGAATTAGTGCTCTGCATTTATCCCATCCAAAGTGAACACACACACCCGGAGCAGTGGGCAGCCATTTTTTTGCTACGGCACCCGGGGAGCAGTTGGGGGTTCGGTGCCTTGCTCAAGGGCACCTCAGTCGTGGTGTTGAAGGTGGGAGAAAGCACTGTACATTCCCTCCCCCCACCTACAATCCCTGCCGGTACGAGACCTTTGGGTTACAAGTCCAACTCTCTAACCATTAGGCCACAACTTCCCCAAGTGTTAAAGTGTTATATAAGGAGCTATATAAACTCTGAAAAAGTCTGTGAGAGTTAATTTAACACTGGACTTTATGCTGTGTATGTTAAGGGGCGTAACATTTCTGTCACACGCTTGAGGCATTCGGCCAATCACAATGCACTGGATAGCTGACCAATCAGAGCACACCTCGCTTTTCAGAACGATGAGCTTGGTAAAAATCGACACATTTCAGAAAGGCGGGGCATAGAGGAGAAAAAATAATGTACAGTATGTGGAAAATGTGTTTTTTGAACCTTAAACCGCATAAACGCATTGCATTACACCAAATAATGTTATTTTTAGCAATGTCATATGATCCCTTTAAGGTCAAAATGTGTACAGGTTGGCAGGTCTGTATCTAACATCTGCTTTTTGAATAAAAAATAAATAAATCTCGAAACCAGGTAACCCTAAGCTTGGCTAATAGAATAAGTACTTGATTTTAAGTGTTTTATGTAAGGTCATGTTTGCGTTTTTGGGAAAAAAATGAAAACTTTTTTTCTTCACATTGTCAAATTTCAAATATACTGCCAATTATAGGATGACCCATATACTTTTATAATTCTACTGTACAGTCAATAATCTCATGTATTGTCTGTGGTTATATGTTTGTTGTCTAACACCAGTCAGGAGCAGTGCTACTAATTTCATTGCAGAAAAATACAATGACAATAAAGGCTTTCAGTTCAATTCAATTCAATGGCTTTATTGAGAAATTTAAAACAGAAAGCCCCAAAAGCAAATATTTTCCTAATGCAAATACAATTATAGTAGACAATAAAAGTTGTTGATAAAATATAAAAAGTAAAGATAATGTATTAATAAAAAGTTAACATTTAATCAATAATTACTCAAGGCAAAAGTGATCAATAATTACAGAAAGTAAAAGTGAAAACTAATGAGATGGATCTCTCTTTTCTACTGACAAGAAGGGATGGGTATCATTAAGGTTTTAACGGTATTACTATTATCACGATACTGCTCATAAATCAGGGATTCTTTTTTTTCTACAGAAAAAAAGGCCTCATATTCTGAAATGTAAAAATCTATAGCAAAGACTCGGCATGTTTGAACAAAAATGACATAAACCTGTAGTTTATTACTGTTATATTTAATAACAGTAATAAACTACAGGTTTATGTCATTTTAAGGACTAATGCATGGATCCAATATACCAACACATCAGATTGCTTTACCTCAAACATATTGTCTTTATAATCCTTGGAAGCCAAACTCAAAATTGAAAATTAAATTAGATTAGTAATAGCACAGACGTGCAAGAATAATGAAAATGATTGGCAAGATACAATGATCTTGATCATGTTTATGTAGCAATAATTAGTACTAAGAGTATTTTCTTAATTTGTCCAGTACCGAAAGTAGAACCGATAATATCAGAGCTTATGAATACTAGTCTTTCATAATTTAGCCCCAGAGCTCGTTTAATACCGGTTTCAGGTACCATCCCCTACTTACAAGAGAAGCACAGAAGAATCAAGTTACAAATCTACATGACAGTACGTCCTGCCTCTGTGTTTCCTAAATAAGTGTAAGAATAACAATTTGTTTTAAGAGCAACAATTAAGAACAAAATTTTAATTAAATCTAGGTGTCTCTTAAAAGTGTTAGTCTCTTCTTCAGCTTCCTGAACAAGAATGGTTTCTAAAAATGTCTACTTACCTTCTTGAAAGAGTAAGCAAACTACAAGTGATACATATGCATTATAAGACAATTGAACATAATATGAAACTCATAAGAAAGCACAATGATATAATTTATATCATGAAGCAAAATAATATGCAAGAATATAACTTTCTGACATTGTTCTTTGGGGAGGAACTCCATCTGAGTTGATCTGAATCTCACAGTTGAATCTGCTGATTTTGAAGATGAAGATGAACTTTATTCACTGTGAAAACTTTAGATAATGTTTCTTTGTCATGTCACTTGTAATGTCTGCTTAGGCCAGATTTATCCAGATTATATTTTATTGCTTAATGCGTTATTGTGTTGCATTTGTTAAGGACACAGCATCAGATCTGAAAGTGCTGAAAAATCTGAAGGTGATCTATTTACTGTGAATGTTTTTTGTATGACTGTGTAGAGAAGATGATTGATTGAAACACTTCCCACATGCAGTGCAGTGATACGGTTTCTCTCCAGTGTGGATCCTCTCATGTGTTTTTAGATGTCCTGAATGATTGAATCTCTTGTCACAGTGTGGACACTTGTATGGTTTCTCTCCAGTGTGGATCCTCTCATGTGTTTTTAGATGTCCTGAATGATTGAATCTCTTGTCACAGTGTGGACACTTGTATGGTTTCTCTCCAGTGTGGATCCTCTCGTGTGTTTTCATATTTGCTGAATGACTGAATCTCTTGTCACAGTGTGAACACTTATAAGGTTTTTCTCCAGTGTGAATCCTCTCGTGTCGTTTCAAATGTTCAGCTGAAGTAAAAGTATTTTCACACTCAAAGCACATGTACTCTCTCACACCAGTATGTATTTTCTGATGCTCCTTCAAAATTTGTAAACATGAAAAACTCTTTTCACACAAATGACATGAATGTGGCTTCTCCTTTGTATGAACGTTCAGGTGTTTCTTCAGGTCTGAAGCACACAAAAATGTTTTGTCACATTGCTCACATGTGTACAGTTTCTCTCTAGTGTGAATGTTCACGTGTTCCTTAAGGTTTGACGAGTGAGTAAAGCTCTTTCCACAATGATCACAAGTGAAAGGTTTCTCTCCAGTATGAACTCTCATATGTGTCGTAAGGTATTCTTTTAGTGCAAAACTCTTACCGCACCGAGCACATGTGTACGGTTTCTCTCCAGTGTGGATCCTCTCATGTGTTTTCAGATTTGCTGACTGACTGAATCTCGTCACAGTGTGAACACTTGTAAGATTTCTCTCCAGTGTGAATCCTCTGGTGCTGTTTTAAACACTTTGCTGTAGTAAAAGTCTTTTCACACTCAAAGCACATGTACTCTCTCACAGCAGTATGTATTTTCTGATGTTTTTTTAAATATTGTAGACATGAAAATCTTTTTCCACACAAATAACATGAATGTGGCTTCTCCTTTGTATGAACTCTCAGGTGTTTCTTTAGGTCTGAAGCCCTTAAAAATATTTTCCCGCACTGATCACATGTGTATAGTTTATCTCTCGTGTGGATGTTCATGTGTATCTTATGTGTTGCTAATTGTGCAAAACGTTTCCCACACTGATCCCAAGTGAACGGTTTCTTTCCAGTATGAACTCTCATGTGAACATCAAGGGTTTTTTTTTTGGTTCAGGTTAAAGATTCCTTGGCTCTTCTTTTCTTTAAATATTTTTGTTTGGTTTGAGAGCGACTCAAAGGTTTTTCTTCAGGTTTGACTATTTTTCTCCTCAACTTCATCTAGTTCTTCATTCTCCTTGTTTTCTTATCAGTAAATCATAAAAAAACAGAGAAAAGTGAAAAGACATAAAAGTGAACCCTTATATAACAGCGAAAGTAGACAATTGCTATTCAAAATGTTGATGATTTTGATGCATTTTTATAAGTTATACGTCCCTGAAACTTTCCATGAATGACGTACATTGATCTTGAAATTATTATTTTTAAAATAGTATAGGCACAAATCCCATGTTTCTATAGGGATAACTATTAAATATATTTGATGGTTCAGGTTAAAGATTCCTTGGCTCTTCTTTTCTTTAAATATTTTTGTTTGGTTTGAGAGCGACTCAAAGGTTTTTCTTCAGGTTTGACAATATTTTTCTCCTCAACTTCATCTAGTTCTTCATTCTCCTTGTTTTCTTATCAGTAAATCATAAAAAAACAGAGAAAAGTGAAAAGACATAAAAGTGAACCCTTATATAACAGCGAAAGTAGACAATTGCTATTCAAAATGTTGATGATTTTGATGCATTTTTATAAGTTATACGTCCCTGAAACTTTCCATGAATGACGTACATTGATCTTGAAATTATTATTTTTAAAATAGTATAGGCACAAATCCCATGTTTCTATAGGGATAACTATTAAATATATTTGATCAGCTACACAGTTATCTAACAAACTTTTGAACAAAATGTACCCAAGTTCACACAACCCAAATTCCGGAAATGTTGGGACGTTTTTTAAATTTGAATAAAATGAAAAATAAAACACTTTCAAATCACATGAGCCAATATGTTATTCACAATAGAACAGAGTAAGTAATATTTATTTCTATAGTACCTTTGAAGAACAAGCGTCACAAAGTGCTTTACAACAGAAATATAAAATGAAGAATAAAAAAATAATAATTCCACCGTGTCCACAGATCTCAGTTCCACAGGAACAGCATTCCACAACTTGGGAGCAACTACTTCAAAGGCACAGTCTTCTCTTTTTTTAAAAAAAGAGGTGGACATTTTTATTATTTTGTCATGTCTATTTTTATTCTTAATTTTATATTTCTATTGTAAAGCACTTTGTGACACTTGTTCTTGAGATCGGTTTGATGAAAATAATTCCACCGTGTCCACAGATCTCAGTTCCATAGGAACAGCATTCCACAACTTGGGAGCAACTACTTCAAAGGCACAGTCTTCTCTTTTTTTTAAAAAAAGAGGTGGACATTTTTATTATTTTGTCATGTCTATTTTTATTCTTAATTTTATATTTCTATTGTAAAGCACTTTGTGACACTTGTTCTTGAGATCGGTTTGATGACTTGGTTAAAAGCTTAGCAGCAGCACTTTGAACCACTTGTAAACGTTTGAGGGATGAATTACTAAGACGAGTAAAAAGAGAGTTGCAATAATGAAGGAGGGAGGAAATAAATGCATGTATAATAATTTCCATCTCCGCTGTGGACACAACTGGCCTCAATTTTGTAATGTTTCTCAACTGATAAAAGCAGTTACAAACCAAATAATTCACATGTTGATCAAGACTGAAAGCTTGTCCCATATGAACACCTAAATTACGAAGGGTAGATTTAACAGAATGTGATAAAGAATCAAGACTTTCCATCACTTTTGGGAGAACACCAACATGAGCTGAGATAAGTACTTCTGTTTTTAACCAAGTAATTATTTGCCATCCAGACTTCAATAGAGTTTATACAATTTAAAAGAGTATACAATTTTGTAATTTCATGAGACTTAAAAGAAATATATAGTTGAATGTCATCTGCGTAGCAATGATAGCGAATGCCTTCAAAATTACTCATCAATTTCCCCAGCAAATATAAAGCAAAAAGCAATGGGGCCAAAACAGATCCCTGGGGAACACCACAGGACACAGGTGGTGTTGATGAGGTATAATTTTGAACTCTTACTGAGAAAGACCTGTCTGATAAGTATGATGAAAACCAACTCAAGGCTGTTCCAGAGATACCACCTCCTGTCCAAGCCTCTCAATTAATATACAGTGATCAACTGTATCAAAAGCAGCAGTGAGATCCAATAAAACTAGTACAGAGCATTCTCCTGCATCACCTTGCATAAACAAATCCTTTAAAACTCTAAGAAGAGCAGTTTCAGTTGAGTGCATATGACGAAAGCTAGATTGGAATTTATTAAACACATTATAACCATCTAAAACAGCTGCGACCGAACTACAAACTTTCCAGTGATGTCTGTGAGAAAGGTATATTCACTTGACAAGCTCGCGCATCTGCGCCGAGAGCTGATCTACAACAACTTTTTCCAGGACCTTAGCCATAAAATGTAACTTAGAAATAGGTCTATAATTTTGGGGTAAGGATGGATCAAGACTTGTTTTCTTTAGAATAGGTTGAACCACAGCTTGTTTAAAATAACCTGGAACTTGACAAGATGTTAATGAATTTTTCATTATAGATAACACACAGGGACCAATCATGTCAATAACATTTTTAAACAAGGCAGTGGGTACCACATCCAGAAGACTAGAAGAACTTTTCATAGACCTAAATAAACTTAGTGAGATCATCAATTGTTATTGGGGAAAAATTATCCAGGGTTACTGGCCTGGAGACACAAAAGTATTTGAAGTGAGGGAGAGAGAGTAATATTATTTTGTATATTGTTTATCTTATCCACATAAAAATGGAGTAAACTGTTGCACTCATCAGCTGAAGAGATTTGAACCGCAGGTGATAGAGAGACAATTTTATGTATGGTGTCAAACAAAATTTGGGGATTATGTCTGCTGCTAGATATTAAATTAGAGAAATACTTAATTCTGGCATCCTTTACCTTGTTAAAATCCATTAAAAGTTATTTTAAATGCTGATAGTGAACTAGTAGTCGAGTAGATTTCCACAGACGCTCGGTGTAACAAAGTCAATGATCGAGAAGGAAGAGGATGGGGTCGGCTTGACTGCTGCTGGTGATTTTATTCAGGTTTCAGTAAATAAACAGAACGTCGCGCTACCAGCGCTCAATATAACACAGTTGCATAAGCAATATACATGGACTCTAAAGAGCAGACAGTTTCCACACACGCACACCAGTCAGCATTCTGTCACCTCTCTGCCTGCCTTCTCATTCCCGGGCCTCTTTATGCGGTCTCTCCACGCCAATTACTGGTGGTTAATAGTGATGGGAAGTTCGGATCATTTTACCGACTCTGACCTTTGAGTCTCGTTCAGCAAAATGAACAAATCTTTTTTTGAGTCATTTCGTTCATTTTAGCAAAATATAATTAAAATGTTACGTGTTACTTCCTTAACACATCTACTACTTGCGCAAACGTTGATCACACTACAAACAATACAAAAGTGCTATAAGAAACAGAAAAGATTAATTCATTGTTTACCTGGGTCTTCATTCTATGATTAGCTCACCCCCTCTTATCTGACAAGTCTTCGGGTTTGAGTCGTTCGTTCATCACGTGACAGCCCCATACACTTTAACCAATGCCGTCTGAGCCAGAAAGAGAATTGATTAGTTCATCTCTCGAGTCTTTCGAATCGTTCATTCTTTTGTCACGTGACAGCATTGGATAGAGAAATTAGTTAATTTACAAGCTTCCGTACAAACGGGTGCATAGTTAATATGATTATTATCATCATTATTATAATTATTATTTACTCTAACAGTTACATGATGCGTTTCTGGTCTCAAAATGTAGCTTATTAATTCTTAGTTTATAAATGTGTGAATTTCTGTCATTATGGTTCTTTTCCATAACACTGAATGTTGTAACAAAGCAAATAAAGAGTTGGTTATTATCATTAAGTCTCTTCCCGGCTCAGACTGCATAGGGTAAACTTATGGGGCTGTCACGTGATGAACGAACGACTCGGAAAAACCCAAAGACTCGAGAGATGAACTAATCAATTCTCTTTCCGGCTCAGACTGCATTGGTTAAACTTATGGGGCTGTCACGTGATGAATGAACGACTCAAACCCGAAGACTCGAAACAGGTGAACTACTTGACTAATTCCAGTACAGAAGCTATAGGATGTTGCGGATGCGCGACTGAACAAATCACTCCCCGAGACGACTCGTTCTTCCCGAGTCACATTAAAGATTCCTTTAAAATGAACGAATCATTCAATAACAACCCAACACTAGTGGTTAAATGGATCGTAGTTGATCCGTACGGACCAAGCCCTCGCCACACTCGGTTTTATGGCAAATACGTTTAAAATAGCAGATACTGTCATTGATCCAAGGGGTGGAATTTAACAGACGAGCTGCTCTGGACACAAAGCAAATAAAGAGTTGGTTATTATCATTAAGTCTCTTCCCGGCTCAGACTGCATAGGGTAAACTTATGGGGCTGTCACGTGATGAACGAACGACTCGGAAAAACCCAAAGACTCGAGAGATGAACTAATCAATTCTCTTTCCGGCTCAGACTGCATTGGTTAAACTTATGGGGCTGTCACGTGATGAATGAACGACTCAAACCCGAAGACTCGAAACAGGTGAACTACTTGACTAATTCCAGTACAGAAGCTATAGGATGTTGCGGATGCGCGACTGAACAAATCACTCCCCGAGACGACTCGTTCTTCCCGAGTCACATTAAAGATTCCTTTAAAATGAACGAATCATTCAATAACAACCCAACACTAGTGGTTAAATGGATCGTAGTTGATCCGTACGGACCAAGCCCTCGCCACACTCGGTTTTATGGCAAATACGTTTAAAATAGCAGATACTGTCATTGATCCAAGGGGTGGAATTTAACAGACGAGCTGCTCTGGACTTCACAGGAGCAACTTCATTCAAGACTGAAAGGCAATGCTCATTAAAAGATTGTACTTGAACATAAACACTACCATTTGACATATTAATGGACGAACTATCAAAAAC